TAGAGTGGAATGGAATAGAATAGAATAGAAATGGAGTGGAATAGAATAGAATAGAAATAGAGTGGAATGGAATAGAATAGAATAGAAATGGAGTGGAATAGAATAGAATAGAAATAGAGTGGAATGGAATAGAATAGAATAGAAATGGAGTGGAATAGAATAGAATAGAAATAGAGTGGAATAGAATAGAATAAAATAGAATAGAATAGAATTAGAGTGGAGTGGAATGGAATAGAATAGAAATGGAGTGGAATGGAATAAAATAGAATAGAAATGGAGTGGAATAGAATAGAATAGAAACAGAATGGAATAGAATTAGAGTGCAGTGGAATGGAATGGAATAGAATAGAATAGAATAGAAATAGAGTGGAATGAAATTGAATAGAATAGTTGGAAGGGGCCCTGGAGGTCTTCTAGTCCAGCCCCCTGCTCAAGCAGGAGAACCTATACTATTTCAGACAAGACAAAATAAACGTATCACCCTCACACTGGGGCCACTGGGGTTCATACCTGCGTTAAGCCATCTTCTGCTTTAAGAAGGTTTGGCTGGAAGTGTGTCACCCTTGCCTGCTCTGATCTGCAAACTCAGCCATGGTGGTTTCACAAACCTTCTGTGGTTGAATCCATCCACGGCTAGAGCTGGGAATGGAAACTGAGGTTGGCTTTGCCCTCTCTCCTCTTCCTCGCCCTCCATTCTGGGTCTGTAGATCAAGTTGGGCACCTCCTCTCAAGTTGTTCTTGTGGTTTCTGGCTCAATGGACGCAGTTGGTTGTGTGTGATCTGTAGCCTTTGGCTAAGACCAACCGGGGTTTGTTGTAAGGAAATAAAGGCAGGAAATAACCATGGCTGTGTGGCAGAGGTGGTTGCTGCCGATTCGGTCCGGTTCAGCTGAACTGGTAGTGGAATTCAGGCCTGGGTTGCACTGCTGGGCCACTGCCGTTTTGGATTTCAGTGATTGCGCGGGCTCAGTTCACTGTAAATTGTTCTGCGCATGCACACAGAACAATTTACATTGAAGAGTGCGCATGCGTTGCACATGCATTGCGAACTGGTAGTAAAACCAGCAACAACCCACCCCTGCCTGTGTGCAATGGATGAAATCAAGGAACCTAACTTTGGGACGTGAATAACATTATCTGAACATCACATGAAGACCCTAAGCAATGGACACCCCTCCCCCACTTCTCGCAGTCTGATATCTGCACACAACGCCAAGCTCGGGGGGGCAGGCAGGGGGGGTTCCTGTCAGTTCTAACCTCTTCTATAGAAGAGGTTCCACAAATCTACAGTGCCGTTTAGAACCGGTTCCAGCTCCCCCACTCACCCACCCGTCCGCACATCATCAAGATGAAGAGCGAGAGGAGGAATTCTGGGAGTTGAAGTCCACAAGTCTTAAAGTTGTCAAGTTTGAACACCTCTGGGGTTTTTTTCCCTAAAGGGTTAGGGGGTGCAAGGGTCTTGTAACTTGACAGCTTTAAGACTTGCGTGCTTCAAATGCCAGAGTTTCTGAGCCAACATTTTAGTTGCTAAGCAAGAGCGTTGTTAAGTGAGTTTCACCACATTTTACAAGTTGGCCATGCCCACCCAGTCACATGGCTGACAAGCCACTTCCACCCGGTCACATGGCCGGCAAGCCACTCCCACAAAGCAGACCACACCTACAGAAGAGATTCTAAAAAGTTTTTGAAACCCACCACTGATGTGGGATGAATGTGGGAGGACCTCCTGCTAACCCCGTCCAAACAGACGCATTCACAGCAGGAGTCAAAACCGAAGCTCCACCCTTGTGTAGGTGTTCTGTTGTGCATCACACAACCACACATACAAAGCAACGACAGTGAAGTTGGCTTCCCCGTTGACTTGGCTTGTCAGAAGGTCGCAAAGTGGATCACGTGACCTCGGAATGCTGCAAACCGTCATATAACTATGATTCAGTTAGGCCTCTGAATTTTGATCACGTGATCATGGGGATGATGCAGAGGTCGTAACTGTGAAAAACAGTCATAAGTCACTTTTTTCAGTCCTGTTGTAACTTGGAAGGTCACTAAACAGACTGTTGTAAGTCAGGGACTACCTATACTCTTGTAGCTGGACGTTTTGCTGAATTGTGAGGTGCAATTTATCCCAGTGGCTAAAAGGCATCGCTTGTCCCTCCAGGGTGGTAAGGAGGGAGGGAGATATCTAACCTAACCAGCCCTCCTTTGGTCTAGCGAATTTCCTGAATAAACCAGAGTTTATTGGGTTCCCTTCACGCAGTACGTGGAGCCGCCTTGGCTACATTCTGACTTGGCATGTTGTACTGGCCATGATTTGTTCACAAAGCATTTAGGGTGTGCTTTGGAGGGGCCTGTGCAGCGATCAGCAGCTGGCACAGAAGGCCAGGCCTGGCAGAGAGCTGCAGACTTATTTGGTAAGCTGTGGTTTCTTCCATGGTGTTTTGTAGAATTGGGGA